GGGGGGGGGGGGGGGGGGGGGGGGTGGGTGTTTCGCGGGGACTCGAGAATATGCGTGCTTCCGAGCAAGGAATCCTCTTACATATGTATGAGCCGGGTGCTATTGAAACGGTCGAGGAGAAGCCGTCTTCCGTATGCCGGATCGGGCTGTCGCAGCATAAAAAGGCGCGAAATCCGGGAATTTCGTCACGTGTTCCCAACGACAAAGGGTTGCAGGAGGAAAAGGAACGGCTGGAACGAAAGAGGCAGCGATCTTCCCCGAGTCCTTTGCACTCTATTTACGCTACTGTTACGGCCAGCCAAGTTTCACGACTGCGAGCTTCCAACGCAAAAAAAATACGTCTCGGTCGAAGAGAAAAAAGATCGTGCGCGTGTCGAAAACTCGTTGAGACTTTTTCATCGAGGGAGGAAAAATCGGTTCCGTTCGCAATCAAACTGTCGTTTCTCCCAAGACTTCAATGGGACAATCTCTACGAGAATTCGACTTGTTTTGTTCATTCAAGAATTCATTGGAGAAATAGCTCTAGCGTATATGCATCGGTATCGTATCCTCGGTTGTTAAAATTCTGCAACGAGCGTAGAGCGTGCTAAATAGAATCGAGGCTCTATATTCTGTTATAAATGTTTTATGCATTGATTCTCTGCATGTAGTCACCATCTGGTGCGATTCAAAGCTTAATTGTTGCTGATCGATGCTTTGCTTAGGAAGGAGGGGGGGAGATCCACTTCTAATAACATCGAATTGATCCCAGCAGACAGGCAGAGCCATCTATTGGCAATGCAGGCAGTCTTCTCAAAGATCCTAAAAGGCATCTGCCGTTTCGGTAGCCACGTGCGAACGGAAGAGTTCCGTTGCTGGTTGACTCTGATTTGGCAAAAGAAATGTCTTAGGAGAGCTCGAGAGAATCTCGTCGTGATTCACTGTCGCATGACGCGTGGTCTCTCGGTGAAAGACGGTGTCGTGTGGCTCGGGGAGTGCGCGCTCGTTGACAGGCGGGAGTTCCGTGACACCGTGGCGTCATTCCATGCGGGTTTTTTTTCTTTCTTTTTGCAGCCGTCCACATTTTCGACCAACGAATCCTGTGTTCCCTTCATGCCTAACGTTCTCAAGGTCTTCCTCGAGAATGGACAGACCAAAAGTTTCAAGGTCAGTCGACGTTCTGGACATTTCGCCTCTAACGAGAAAAAAAAAAAAATTAGTCTAGATTCTTGCGGGATGCTTTCGGCATGCCCACGAGACTCGCGTTTTGACGCGGATTGCGAATTTTCGCGCAGTACGATTCGTCGACGACGGTGGGGGACGTGATGGAGAGCTTGCAGGGGAAGCTGTCGATCCAGTGCATGGAGCACTTTGCACTCGTCGTCGAGCACATTCGCTCCATCCGCAAGAACAAGCTCACCCTGCTCGACCCCGAGGAATCGCTGGCGAGGGTGAGGGAATGGGGGGGAAAGGAAGGGGGAAAACGGCAGGGTGATTTGGGATGATCCTGTTTTCATCGGGACGATCCTGGTGTTGCAGATCGCGGCGAGGCCGGGTGCTCAACATCTCAGGTGCCTATTCCGAGTCACGTTCGTACCCAAGGATGCTTACGAGCTTCTGAGGAAGGATTCTGTCGCCTTCGAATACCTCTACACTCAGGTGGGTCCGGCTCTTTTCTCTCAAGAGACGAACCGAAAATTGGCTAAATAGTGCAACTCGGTGGGGAGTGAGTATAAGAAGAGGGATGTCGCGATGTTCAACGGATAATCCAATGAACAGATCTTCGCCCCATGGCTTAGATTTCACGTATGGGTTGCTGATGTCACGCGAGTCCCTCAAATTCGGATTTGAAATGTGAATCTGAGAGTAATAGCTCAGTTTCTTTCTCTCTTAAATCAGTCAGGTAAATAGTAGAGAAGAAGATGGATTGGACTGACACGTTTTTTCATCTAGACGCCAACGAATCGTAAATGAATGATCTGAGAAGCAAAATATCCGCTTTTCTAAACCAGCAAGTATCATCATTACTTCCTCAATTTAATTTGAATTAATCTGCGCTTCCATCTCAGCATTGTATCCGAATTGAAAGTGAATGCAGTGAAGTCTTGCCGTTACGAGCTCGTTGGGTCGACGAAAGGGTTTCTAGTATCCTTGTAATTATGCCCAGAGGTCAGTTGCTCACATTAAGAAATTGCGGGGCCCGGGGCAAGTGGATTCTTGAGGCTATTCCCCCCCCCCCCCCCCCCCCCCCCCCCCC